AGTGTGAGTGTGAGTGTGTGTGAGTGAGTGAGTGTGTGTGTGTGTGTGTGTGTGTGTTTTTGTTTATTTACCTCATGTTTGTTCATGTCATTCTATATACCTTGGGCTTTGTCACAAAGGACTGAGTAACATAGCTTGAGCGAAAGACAAGATGAAGAAATAGAAACATAGATTCATGATTTTTTTTTCTTTCATAATAAAAATAAGATATATTCATACAGGATTTCTGAGGATTATTCACATACAAGGAAGTACAATACAAAGAGTATCAACATAGTCCAGACAGATGTTCCGCAATTATGAATGATATTCACCTAGACCTGAGGCATAAACCAATGTTAGTAGAACAGTATATACTGTATACATACATATATATGGAAAATAATGATGATAGTATATACCCATCTATCTTATACACAGGGTAATGTTTACATATATGTATCTCTTCATTTGATATAAATACTTTTTAATTAAATAATGCACACATAATATATATTACAACAATAAATATTCTCAAGAAGAAAAGGAATATTCTGTATAGAGACAGTAAATTTAACTACAGTAAAGTTAACAAAGAGTCCTTTCTACTCTGAAAATCCAAAATTATTCTTAAACTAAAATTTTCACATTCCTGTGCATTCTTTAAACCTAGAGTCTTTTCCTCAGGTCTAGCAAGAGGAACATCTGCAAAACTAAACGTTCCTCCATATCCTCTTTCTCCTCCTCCTCCTCCTCCGTCTACTCTCTTGCTTATTTTTTTTTTCCTCCGCACTGTTCTCTATGGAGGACAGAGGCTCAATATACCACTTGATTAAGCCAGGACTAGGCAACACATATGCTAGAGGCATAATCAGAAGCCATGGTTTGAGTTTATAATGGACCGATCCAAAAGGAAGCAAGTCCATCCTCCCGTCATCCTGCTATTTATTTACCATTTTTATGTGAATGAATTTTATGCTGGTAGCCTGGGAGGAAAAAGCATGGTGGGTTTTTGCTTACGGTGCTGGGGGGCTATCTCAAACCATGAGTAATGATGTTAGCCATAAACCTGACATAAAGCAGCTGATGGAGTACAACATGATGCATACTATGCTCTCAATACTCTGCTGTTATCACATGAGAAAATTCTACATTTCTACCTATTTCAAAATGTTTTTTTTTGTTTTTTGTTTAAACCCATATTTTTTTATTTTTTCAAGTTTGCCCAACATCTATGACAGTGTCAAAATAAGCCATCTAAAAAGAGTAAAACCTGAAATGTAAACACTGCAAAATAAACACTAGTCATGAGCCCTGCATGAAAATTGGCACAGTCAGTGACTACAAAGTGATCCTGTAACGGCTGAGGAAGAAGAAGCGAAGTGATCACGTCGGCGCTTCTTCCGAGCCTCCCTCACTGTCTGTAATAGCTGACTTTGTCACGTAAAATTCTCTTTGCCTGAAAGGATCCACTGCCCTTGCCACCATGTCAACACTTGGGCTTTGTACCACATGGCAGCAACAATGCCTTCTTTGGTGGCCACACAGCACCACCACGAACCTGAAGCAATAAATTATCTTTGGCTTCTTTGATAGCTGATCTGCTGTGAAAGATAAAAAGAGCAAGGAACCCTATCAGGCATCTGTTATAATGAAAGAGCTAGTAATGCCTTACACTCTCAAAATCATGACATAAGCACCATGGAGACATTATGTGCCCATTCTCCATCCCTCTATCTGATATGTACCACACACAAGCCACAGTCCTCACTTAACATAAAACGTCCCAAACTTGTGCTCACTAATTTGTGATAAACATGTCACTTCCTTAGGGTCCATATTCAAAAGGAACAATTTGGCACTGTTCACTGTTGTGACCACCTACAACTCTACAACTGCTACAAGAAAATAATGATCTCACTAGGCAAGGATGGGTCAGCTGAGGAGGCTGGGCGAACGGCACAGTCTTGAGGAGCTCAGACAAACCCATGCGATCAACCCTGAACCTGCAGGGCACGCTATGGACACATGGCAAAACGTACATTCGGCTCACCGGGCGTTATCCACAAGAAACACCCAAGTGTTTGCACAACATACTCTTCACAAGATTGGGGCTCTGGCTCTGGGAGCATGCCAGATAGTCAGAGTGTCCAACTGGCTATGAAAGAAATCTCAAAAGATGAGGTACAAAGGTAAAAGTTGAAGACGAGGCCACTAACATGGAGGGGGACGATACTTAACACGGTTCCCACCTCCCATGGGGTTGGTCACTTGAGGTGCAGCCACCTCATCACTTTGCGCTTAAGTTTGGTACAGTACGAGGCCACCAGTGGTCACATTGTGGGGTCCTCCCCCTGAGCGTCTTCCGGTGGCGCTCTTTTTCCACTGCCTTCATCATCAAGCGTAAACTGGATCTGGATTCTCTCGGCTGCAGCACACAATTCCTCCTCAGGGCCATCCTCTGAGTCATCCCCTTGGCCCTCTTCTTCCTTGAGGTCATTTGATGAAGAGGATGGCGAGATGGGGATCATGCGCTGGTACCAGTCGCGATTCTCCTCCAGCGTGTCAAGGATGTCCTGCGCATCTGGGTGGACCAAGTCCGCCCAGGTTTCCCATAGTGGGTGCACAATGTAGTCAATGAAGCCAACCTGTAATGTTAAGAGTGGGATTATTTATGAGTGGAAAAATGAGTGGGAAAAGAAAAGTAATAGGAAAGCATTTCGTCATTGAATGATTAAGAGCTCCTAAAGGAATTCATTTTCCTAGGGAAAGAAATTATTTTCTTCAGCACAAACAACTTGCTTTCTTCCTAAGAATATCCAATATTGTGATGCAAAATCACAGTATTATCCATTACTGTGATAAAAATAATAAGAATCTTAATAAACAATGGTTTTCTAGTACCATAATATAACAATACTTTATTCAAACAGTAATAGAACTAAAAAAATACAAAAGTGTAGACCTTCCTCTTACCTGAGACTTCTCAATGGTGGCTGAATGTCTATCACACATGGGAGATATATCCATACCCTGTTCCCTTTCACGGTCGCCTTGTTGGAAGAACTCCTCCATGATTGAGGAAACCCAATGTCGGTAGAGTTCCAAGGGCTTTGTGGGATTACTGAGGTCTGCACAGTGCACCATATTTTGAAGCACCTGAGGAAGTGACAAAACAATTAGCAATGTTTGTTAATGTTCAGAAACTTTGTCTATAACTTTGACTATATAAATTTCTGTTTTTACTAATAACATTTTTCTTGTGAAGCATGCAGTTCTCTCTTTCTCATGGGTGAATTTCACTTCTAAATATTACAATCAGACTTTCTATACCTTTAATAAGCCTTTTTTTTTGTACATTAAAGTAATGTAACATAAAAAGAAAGAATGGTAATGACATATTTTTATTAGTCTTTTATGTGTCACATTCACAGAGTATACTTTATATTTGCACCAGTATTTTCTTTTTCATTCCTTTTAAAAAGTAAGACTACTATTTACCTGTATCCTATCTGTATAATTATCCAAAAGGAGAACACCTGAACCTGCAACCTTCTTGGTTTCAACCATTGTCTTGAGATCAGCAAGGAGGCTCATGTGCTTGCTCATGTCTGTTGCAAGAACCATGTCTATCACCATCTTGCGGAGAGTCTGTCTCTGCTTTTTGCCAAGGTTGGCAAAGATATCACAATCCTCATTCTGCAGCAATTTGAAGGCCACAGCCAAATGATGGTTCTCAAGCACAGATTCATCGTTATACATGAGGGCGAGCTCCGAGGAGGAGTTGATCAGGTACTGGTTTGTGAGGCCTGGGTGGTCCACGTCGTGGATGGCGGCTGCGAAGATGGCAGCCAGGATTTCTAGGCTTGTGAAGACAGACTGCAGGGGTTAAGAGTACAGATTAATATTCACAGAAAAAAACAGTTATGACATCAATTCATTTTTATCTGTGCAAAGAAAATCTCTAAAATTTAAACTAGTTTTACACTGACTAAATGTTCCATCTCTTCTGTCTAAAGCTAATACAATCATCCACAGGGCATTCTAAGAAACATAATCATGTACTTAGTCATTACAAGTTACTAACATTATTAAATTAAACTATCTATTTTGGTAAATTTCTGATTTTTTAACATTGATTTCAGGTACCACTTGGGGGACCTAGAGTGGAGTGATCTGTCAATAGCCCCTTGCTTTAGCGAAGCAGCTGGATATCATTCATTTGACGTACCTCAAGGGCAGGTGAGTTGAGAAGAACATGGGTGGACTGAGTGACGTCAGCTGCATGCAAGGAATTGTGGTATGGAACGTCCTTCAAATAGTGGTCTTCAAGGGTCATCATAAATGTTATGAAAGTCTTGGGCGGAATTTTGAATGTCTTTAGCAAATCACGTTCCTGTAGGAGAAAGAAATGGCAGTTGATTATATTGATTTGGTTGAAGATTTTTGAATGTTCATAGTGGCAGTAGTAGAGGAATGGCATAAAGAAAAATTAAGAAAGGCAAAAGAAGAGGATCAGAAAGAAAATAGAGAAAATATATATATCTTACAATCTATAAAGAATACATTCAATAATTCACAATAACTACACAGGCTATGTGGGTATCATGCAATTTATTACAAGTCTCAGTGATATAGAGGTTATAACAGCCGTATAACTTTGAATAAGATGCAAGTTTTATCCACTTTTCATTCACACTTACCATGAAAATAGTATATGTGATGGTAGTTAAAGGTTTTCTATTTGATAATTCAGCTATCCTGTAGATATCAATGCCCCATTTGTCTATATCTTCTAGAATCTGAAAAGAGAAAAGGTTTACGTAGTTTAATCTTGACCATAAGCTGTGTCTTTATTTTTATGTCTTAATAACTATGTAGTGTTTTTTGGTCGTATATGTATGTGGTGTATTTATGTATGGATATATCTGTATATAAATCATATTTGTATGCATTTGTTGTCACTTACGCATAACAAATACAAATGCAGAGATACGTATAATCCATTACACATATATTTTATGAGGTTTTCATTTAGTGTGTGTGTATATGTATATGTATATGTATATGTATATATATATATGTATATATATATATAATATATATATATATATATATATATATATATATATATTATATATATATATATATATAAAATATATATAACATATATATAAACATATATATACACATATGTGTGTAGGCTAAGTGTGTGGGTGTGGGTGTGGGTGTGTGTGGGTGGGTGTTGGTGTATGTGATGTGGATGTGGGTACTTACAAATTATAAAGTCCTCCTTTTTTAATACTGACAAATTTACATTAAACTAGAAATTAAACAATGAAAATGTACTCCAATGTTTAAAGGAATCATTTATATACATGTTAATCTCAGTCATAAGAGACATTGTATGAAGAGAATCTATATGGTTACATCTGATGATATAAATACCTAAAAAAAAAAGATAGCTCAACTATTTTAGGCCTACTATTTTATTACATCACAAATATTCTTTTATCATATTTACAAATACTTTTTTTTACTCAAAGTGTGACTACGTGTATTTACTGTTTAATTTAGCTTATAAGAGAAAAAGTAAGTTTTCATCTAGTTACAAGTTGAAAGAAAATAAATGGATTTATGCTGTATTGGCATGATATATGTACTACAACAGTGCAAATAGCCAAGAAAAACTGTATCATCCAAAACTGCCTGTAAACAGTTACAAATCTAGGGTGCATTGAGCAGTATGTCATGCTTGAGTCTCATAAACATGTTACTGTTTAGTTGATGGCACGTGCATGTGTTTCCTGTATGTTTAGAAAGGACTCTTAATGCTCCAGTTCATTTCTAAGTCCAAGTTGTTATACGTCTCAGGATTCAGACCAAACATTAAAAAAAAACTGTGATCAGTTGACTCTGAATCAAGTTTCTGAATGACTGAATGACGCTGCAGTCTAGATATGTCTCTGGGATTGCAATAGTGATGTAATCTTTGTCATGTAGTGTTAGTGTTGTTGCAAGCATGTATGTCTGTAAGGCTGTGCATATACTGGAGGCTACGGGAAATTGTTGTATTGAACTGTCTAGGAGGTGCTGTTTCTGGGTCATAAAGGAAAAAAAAAGGAAGTTAACAGAAACAACATATTCTGCTGAAGTTTTACAAATGAGAATCCTAAATAACCTAGAAAGTGTTGCAGCATGGGAATGTTGTGACAGTAGAAAGAAGAGCCTATGGAGGTGAGAAAGCTTGCAGTTGTAAAGAGCATGAAGCTACAGGGAAAATATAACTTGTATGGTTGATTAAAAAGAAAGGAAAAGGAAGTAATTGACAGTGATCATGAATTAAAGAGAGTGTGTGAAGAAATGCAAAGGAATAGAGTTGAGAGGGAAAGGAAGCCTATTGATGAGAGCAAGTGAGGGTTGAAGGTTGCATGGAGATGAAGGAGCTATGGTGGTGTTCAGGTAACCAAATTACCTCCTCACTTATATCCTCCAGCTGCCCAGAACACAAACACATAAGAAGTAAGTAAGAGATAATGCATGTCTTGATAACATCGGTATGCACACAAAGAAGGTCCCTCTATCACAGTATTCTTTTTTTTATTAACAGAACATGAAACATGTTATTCAATGTAATATTCAACATATAAACTAACACAAAAACACTGGTTGGAAATATAGGCAGTATGTTTGCCTATTGACACAAAGTATATCCTCAAACAACTTACCTTTCCTCCACATTGTACATGAATCAGATTTACATGATACAAGGACTTCTGGCTAAGATGCCTAACCAATGTACATCCCATTATTATGCATGACCTTCAAGAATACTAAGGAATATACTTTAAATCAAATAATGCAAGGGGAGATAAGATTCACAGAATTAAGTTATGGCTTAAAGACTGGGATGCAACTACGGTCCATAGACGTTATTTGCCGATTCTCTCGGAGATCAAAATAATAGGAATTCCTCATGAGTCCTACAAATTTACCGACCTTTGTAGTGACGCATCCAATCAAGGATGTTCTATCTTCCCTTTACCAAATTCTTCACGTATATAAACACACACTGACAAGGCCAATTAACAAAAAGGCCAAAGCCTCTCTCACCTTGCCAGTTCCTCCTCCTGACGGGTATCGACGCCGTACTTGGGCAGCCTCTCGCCCGAGAAGGAGTTGGCATGTAGGAGCGGCTTCTTGACGCCCTGTATCTGTGACATCGACACATCCTTGATACCAGTGGTGGCAACGACGCTACCGATATCCGAGGTGGTCGTGGTCGTGGTGGAAGGCAAGGCGGCTACCACTGAAGCCTCTGGGACGACTGCCGACGAAGGGCCGCTTGACAGGTTGCGTTCCTTCCTCTTGGGTCGTTCGCCATCGTCCACCTCAGGCTCGGGATGTCGAGCTCCTGTTGTTGGTCTGAGGAACAAAAGGGGTGGGGTCAGTCGTGGGAAGAGAAGGACTCGTGGGGAAGGAGAACAGCAAAAAGAATAAACGAATGGAAATAGAAGAATGGATGAAAGGACAAGCGAGGACCCAACACGATGAAAATGGAAGGAAGAAATTAATAAGAGCAAGGGGAAAGTGATACATGTGAAACCCAAGGACATGGATTCTTGTCGCACAGACAGAATTAGAAAGAATTGAAAAGAAAAGACGAAATCGAGGAGATCAAAAGGGAGGGAACAAGCATCCCGAACAAAGACGAGTCAACACCTTAATGAATTCCGAAAGAAGGAAGAAGGAAGAGATAAGAGATGCAACTGCTGCCATTGGATATTTTTCTGCTAACTACTCGTCCTTATTCACCTGTTGCCGATTCAGTACCTCTACTTCTATTGATCTTTTCTTCGCTAATGTAATGTAAAATCCTTAAAATTATTAGATAAAAGTGATAATAATGATGACAATGCCGATGAAAAATAATGGTAATAATAGTTATATAACAATAATTTCAGAAGAGCGGTGAGTGCTCAATAGCAACTTCATCTCGTGTTTGCTTTCATATGATTGTCTCCCGCGTAATCCATATTTTGCCATTTTATTTCCTACTTTAAATGTGCACGCAAGAGGAGAGGCAGAATTGAGATGCCAGCGTGGAAAGTTCCCACAGGAAACTGCACATACAGCGAAGGGGAAGGTCGGCTGTGTTGAGATAGGGCATACATGTTCGGGTAATAGGAAAATAGAGCAGGCAGACATTTCTTCCATTGGAGAGGCTGGTGCTCCCTCCCTCCCCCCTCCCCAAATGCTCATCCAGCGAAATGGGAGATGTCATTTTGCCTAAGCGGGAAAAGGATGAATCTTTACTCTCGGTGAAACGGTAGTTCTTTATTCATCCGTTTTCATACGGTATGTATATGTATATATGTATTTTATATCGGTATGGTTGAAGTTCAGACTGTGAATGTGTGCAGAGGTATATTTCGCCCCGCTCAGCGCAACTCTGTGACGTCACGTGAGGTTGCCATGCCATTGGGCAGAGCTCTCATGACGTCATTCCTTCCTCGTTTATGGATTGGCGGACCAACTTACGTCATCCACTTCCAGGTTCCGGATTGGCTGGGGAGGAAGGTGTGTGTGTGTATGTGTTGGAAGCAAGTCAATAATGACACAAACATGTTCATCTTTTTCGAAAGGCACCTTTTCTTGTCTACCACTTATTCATCTTTAAATATATCACTCGTTGAGCAATGATCATTAATTTTTTCCTGCAGATTGCAAATGGTAGCTCTTCTCGCACGGAGAGAAAATGAAGGAAAACTGGTGAAGGTCAGGGTACCAGAGGGGAGCTCGGCACACCCATCTGTGACGTCATATGTAGCACAGGAAAATGGGGTGGGGGGTAGGGGGGAGTGGGGGATGTATAGAAAGCGATGACGTTCTACGAAATGAACTGATATTGGCGGAGTAACACAATAATCGAAAACTAATAATGGCTGGTAATGGGAGTGCCGTCGTCACAAAGAGTGAAAGAACAGGTTGCGGCTGTGAACGCGGAATGCTAACGAAGGAGCTAATCACACACACACACGCACACACACACACACACACACACACACACACACACACACACACACACACACACACACACACACACAACACACACACACACACACACACACACACACACACACACCATATACATCACCCTGCCTAAAAGCTGTCAACTTTACGTACCGTCACTTGTTCGATGTTAGGAAATGATGTCTGAATCTACAATAAACAAGTAATAACTTTGCCTCCATGGAAAGTCAGGTATCGAAAGTCTGCCTTGAGTTGTGTGTCTTTTTCAAGTGGAG